GTCCACACTCCGGCTCCTGGACCAGCCTCGTCCGTGCCTCCTTCACTCCCCTCCCTGCCTCAACCTCTCTTGAGATCTTGCAGTTCCTGGAACATGGCAGCCTCTCCCTACCACCAGTTTTTTTTTTTAATTCTGCCCTACATGTTTTTTAGCCAAGCCAGCACCTACCCTTCTCTCCCGACACAGTTTGTGCTTCACTTCCTATGGAAGCTTTCCCTGACCACCCACACCCCCTGTTATAAAGTCTCCCAACCCTTGGAATTCTATTGGTAAACTTCTCACAATTGTAATAAATTACTGATTTATGTGATTCTTTATTTAACGTCCAACTTCTCTGACAGATCATATACTTCAAGAGGACAGGGGCTAACTCTGTTTTCGCTCTTCTGTCTCTGTCATACCCTACCATGCAAGGCAATTGTGAGTGCTCAATAAGCATTGGTTGAATGAGTAATGGATGGGCAGCGTAGCATTGGGGCTTATTCAGAGTGACAAGAACTATTGAATGAGATGAAATTTCATGGACATTCAGGTTCCAAACCTCAAAATAGAAGAGTTTGGAGTTACGGACCATCTTGAGATCACTCATTCATTTGTTAATCAGCCATTCAGTGAGTACTTTACTAAGAATCTACTTGATGGATTCTTAGATTCATCCCTTGGGATGGATACAACAGTGAATAAAACTGACCCAGTCCTGGTTAATATTCAAAAAATATAAGGAACTGATACAACTCAACTCCAAAAAAACAAGTAATCTAACTAAAAATGGGCAGAAGTCATAAACAGACATTTCTCCCAAGAAGACATACAGATGGACAACAAACACACAACAGGATGCTCATCATCACTCAGAGTCAGAGAAATGAAAATCAAATCCACTATGAGATATCACTCACACTGTCAGAATGGCTAATATTAACAACACAAGAAACAACAGGTGTTGGCAACGATGTGGAGAAAGCGGAACCCTTGTGCACTGTTGGTGGGAATGCAAACTGGTGCAGCCACATGGAAAACAGTATGGAGGTTCCTCGAAGAGTTAAAAATAGAATTACCATATGATGTAGTAACTCCACCACTGGGTATTTGCCCAAAGAAGATGAAAACACTAATTAAAACAGATACATGTATCCCTATGTTTATTGCAGCATTATTTGCGATAGCCAAGATATGGAAGCAATCCAAGTATCCATCCATAAATGGATAAAGAGGATGTGAGATGATAGATAGATGATAGATAGATAGATAGATAGATGATATGGAATAATAGGCATAAAAAAGAAAATCTTGACATTTGCAATGATGTGGATGAATCTAGAGGGTGTAAAGCAAAGTGATAGAAGTCAGAAAAAGACATATACCATATTATTTCACCAATATGTGGAATTCAAGAAACAAAACAAAACAAAAAGACAAAAAGCAGACTCTTAAATAGAGAGAACAAACTGGTGGTCACCAGAGGGGAAGTGGACAGGGGGATGAGTGAAACAGGTGAAGGGGATTAAGAGTACATTTCCTGTGATGAGCACCGAGTAATGCATAGAGTTGTCAAATCATATACTGTACATACATCTGAAACTAATGTAACACTGTATGTTAATTGTACTTGAACTTTAAAAAATATGTAAAAATAAACTTTAAAAAGATTGGTCCAGTCCTTGCCTTTACTGAGTCTATAGTCTACTGAGGGAGGCAGAGATTAATAAGACACCCACATCCACACACAAGATGTAAAATTATAACCCCGTCAAGTACCAGGAAAGGGGGTACAAAGTACTCTGACAGGCCCAGTCGGGGGCTTCTCTTGCCAAGGAACCTGCCTTTTCTGCAAGTGCTTTGCTGAGCTGCCATCTGAAGGATGTGTAAGAGTAAGCAGGCCACACAGAAGGGGAGTACTGGGAGACAGCGCCCCATGGGTCTTCTGCATTTCTGCGCTACTTTTTTTTTTTAAGATTTTATTCATTTATCCATGAAAGACAGAGAGAGAGAGAGAGAGAGAGAGAGGCAGAGACACAGGCAGAGGGAGAAGCAGCTCCATGCAGGGAGCCCGATGTGGGACTTGATCCTGGACTCGGTCCCGGGTCTCCAGGATCATGCCCTGGGCTGAAGGCAGGCGCCAAACCGCTGAGTTCTATGTTACATTTTTGATGATGTTTGTATAGCAAACAGCCTTGGAAGATAGAAACAGTGCAAAAGGCAGCTTCATTGACTGTCAGTGTAATAAAGATAATGTCTCCACCCAGTTCCAGGCTTCCTGCTATGATAAAAGAATTGGGTTTTCAGGCTTCTGTGGCTGTGCTGCAAGCCATTGCATGCCCAGTATCCACTTGGGCTGCTCCAACGTCACCCTCCCGGAACTTGGGGCCAAGGGGAGGGAGATGGGAGCCCATAACTGGGAAGTTACACTAAGAATATGCAGATGATGACCCGCTGAGCGAAGAGGCACAAGCCATCCACATGAGGTTGGCAGGTGGCACCTCCAGCATCAGAGCTCCCATTTGGGGGAAGTGAAAACCCTGAGGCCATTTTGACTGAAGTCACGGTTTCAATACAGTCACCACAAGATTTTTGACTTACAAATCCCAGAAATGAGGATAAAGGACAATCAGCAGGGAGAAAGGCAGTTGTCTGTCCCAGGTCACAAGCAGGCAGGAGATAGAGAACAGGCACCTGTTCTCTGGGGTTAAGGTGGTTGGAACGGGGTCACTAACTTCTCATGGGCTCAACTCTAGGTGGTTGTTTTAAAAGGGACATCAGGAAAAGCAAAGCAGGAACTTGTGGCAGGAATCATAGCTCAGGTCCTTGTCTGAATGTCCAGACGCAGCGTGAGCAGGGTTGTCTGTCACAGTAGAAAATGTCAGGAAAGCAATTCAAAATAGCTGCTTTCCCTTCACAGAAAATGACACAAACAATGAAATTCATGCTTCTCGTTGTGCCATAAGTCCGTGGTTTCTGACCTAGGATTCTCCGTTCTTCTGCAAGAATCCATGAAACTGGCTGGCTATCTCACTAGCTTGCAAGCAGCATAACACTTCAGGCCCTTCAGTTATTGATAGGCAAGTAGATGGCATATGCAAAGGCCCTGTGGTGGGCAAGAGTAGAGCAAATAAAAGGATATGAAAGAAGGCACACATGGGCGGGCGGAGTGCAGGGATGAGGGGTCATGAGGTGAGATGAGGTTTGGAGGCCCGAGCCATGGACCCTCAGCCACTGCTGCTGAGGCAGCCCCAGGGCTTTCTTGGCCATTTGTGGTGACAAAGCCACTTCCATGCAGAGCATGTAAATTAACAAACTGGCTTGGAGAAGGGCACAGGACGACAAGGCTTGGGCCAGTCTGAGCCAATGAGATAATTTTTAACAAAGGAAAAGTAAAAACTGGAAGTGTTTTCTTTTTTTTTTCTGGAAGTGTTTTCTATACCTCACCCTGTAACAAAATTATTTCCTGCACGCTACTTTATAATACTTCTGTTAAAGATTAGAGGAAGTCCAATTTCCAGTGCCCACATGAACGAGGAAAAGTGATCACCAGCCGGCATTGCTGTCCACCCTGTAGGGTCCAAAAGAAGGCAATCACCTCAAAAGGGAGAGGTACACAGTGACTCTGCACGAACCACTTTATCTTACCCCTTGACCAATAAAGAAGAATTGTTACAGTTTTACAGGGACGGGAAGGGAGAGGAGAGGGAGAAGGGGAGAGACCTCACTCACCAGGAGAGAGCTGTGAAACCAGGGTGGCTCGTGTCCGATTATTACCTAATGTCATGGTACAAATGAAAGGACTTTGTTAAGAAGCCCTCTGACCCACCCTGGTTTTTGGAGTTTGGAACTTTTCACTCACCACCTATTAATTCCTTTGCAGCCTGCAATGAAGTCATCCTGGATCTCTGACCAAAGAAAGTATCTCCAAACAGGGGGCAAACCCCACACAGCCTCCTTAAGAAGTTTCATTCTTGGGTCCCCGGGGTGGCTCAGTGCTTGAGCACCTGTGTGCGGCCCAGGGCATGACCCTGGGGTCCCGGGATCGAGTCCCACTCAGGCTCCCTGCAGGGAGCCTGCTTCTCCCTCTGCCTGTGTCTCTGCCTCTCTCTCTCTCTCTCTCTCTCTCTCTCTCTCTCTCTCTCTATCATAAATAAATAAAAATTTAAAAAATTTTAAAAAAAATTTTAAAAGAAGAAAGAAGAAGGAGAAGAAGAAGAAGAAGAGGAAGAAGAAGAGGAGGAGGAGGAGGGAGAGGGAGAGGGAGAAGGGAAGGAGGAGGAGGTTTGGTTCTTATCCTGAGAGTGATAAGGGGTCACTCAAGGACTTGGGGTGGGGGTGACATCCTTAGGTCTGGGTGTCAGATTAGGGAGGTTATCAATCTTCTGGGATTATCTGCTCCTGGGGGAGATCTGGACCTGCGGGAATTTGCTCCTTGGTTCTTCACTGCAGCCCCAAGCTTGTGAGGATCCCCATTGGCTCCCTGGAACTGGAATCCCAAAAAGGAAGCCAAACGGCATGGGGTCCCAGAGCAGCCTAGGGGGGGGGGTGGCTTTCCCACTCCTCCCCAGCTCTCTCTTACATAATCAGCACAGCAACTGCTAAAAGGCTGCCAACCCTCACCTGAGTCTCAGGCCAGGCTGGTGGGAAAGAGGCTTGGAGAGAGACAGCCCGAGGCGGGAACAGGTCAGGCCGGGGCTGCGGGCCGGGGAGAGAGTAAATTGCAGCCTTGTTTGGGGCGCTGCGGGTGACGGACCTCAGCGGGGCCGGTTTCCCCCTGTGAGGCCAACGGAGAGGCTGCCAGAAAAGCCCGGAAATTGCAGGCAGAAAGTGAAGGGGTAAAGGGGTGTGTGTGGGACGGTGCGGGAAGACGGCAAGGGAGGGAGGTGTCTCGAGTGAGGCTGGCTCACTCACGGAACCGCCGACGGGATCGTGGGTGGCAGGTGCCACCCGCCCCGAGAGCTGGCCCAGGTTTTCAAAACTCTCCAAGGTTTCTCAATCTTCCCCTGGTGGCCTCCATGCTCCTCCCAGGCAGTGTCCCAGCCGGTAGTTCCGTCCTTAACACAGCTCAGTTCCCATAAATGGGATGTCTTGGGGCCAGTGGGAGTGGAATGGGACAGGTATAAAAAGGAAGTGCGAGGCCCCGGGAAGAGGCCCCGTCCAGGCAGCTGGACTCAGGAGCTGAGGTCGCAGGACCAGGACCCGGCCACACCACGGCCCCACCCACTGCAGCCAGGATGCTTCTGAGGGCGGCTCAGACAGGTGCCTGCGGCACTCAAGGCCGGCTTGGTCGTGGGTTTTTGGGCTGAGAGCCCCAGACAGCCCTCAGAGCCACTGCACACAGGGGCTGGCCTCCTCCATGCTGGGGAGGGGAAGGAGGGGAAACAGAGTCACTGGAGGGAGGAAGGAGGGGGGAAGAGGAGGAGGAGGAGACAGAGGCTGGGCAACTGGTGTTAAGGCCTCATTGCCCGGGTGGGGTGGAGCAGAAGGAAGGGCAGGATGTGCTCCCAGGGGCCTGACTCTGGATTCCCCTCCAGGCTTTGTGGTCCTGATCCTGCTGCAGAGCTGTAAGTAACCCCCGGATGGACGCGGGAGGGCAACATGGAGGGGACGTGGGGGCCTCGGTCCTGGCAGAGGGGAGCACCTGCCAGCTGCTTCTGTGATTCAAATGGCTCAGAAACACTAACAGCTGCTAAACCAAGGCGATACGCATGTGGATGCTTACTACGCTCTTCTCTATTTTTTCCGTACATTTGAAATTTTTCAAAATAAAATCCATCCAAAGGCTCTGGTGTACTGAGGGCGCAGACCCGTCTTGGCCTGGTGGGCACCGCGGTGGGCCTAGGGGCAGCCTGGGTGAGGACGCCCACTGTTCCTCCACAACCACGAGGGCGGGAAAGGCTCACTCCGCAGCAGGAGGGCGTAGGGTGAGGAGAGGAACGACTTCCCGGTCCTCTGTGCCTGTGCCCGGCCTGGGGGACGGGCTGAGGGGCACTGGGTACCGCCATCCCGGGTGGGTGACAAGTTAGGGACAGTCCCGCAGGAAGGCAGGGAAGCAGTGGCCAGAGCATCCCAGATGGATCACCCCCTGCAGGGGTCGTTAGTCTCCACCCTGAGGGCGGTTCTGGGCTGGGTGCCTCCTCTCCTTCCAGGCCACTGCCTCCAGGAAGCCCTCTTTACTTGCTCTGAGTCCCATTTTACCTTTAGGCACCAGCCCCCACCCTCAGGGCACACGGTGCCCCGTCCTTAGTCTGTGGGATGCTCACCCACTGCATTTTATCTGCTCAAAGCATTTTCAGAATAGGCCTTATTCTCATCAGAGGCGGGGGCAGCTGAGCCAGAGCCTTGTGCTTAGAATTCTAACTGGACTCACATCTCAGCCCGGCCTGCGCTCAGGGCAGGGCTCAGCCGGAGGCGCCAGCTCAGGCCTGGCTCAGGCCCCACCCCAGGCTTCTTCTCCAGGCTCTGCACACAAACTGGTCTGCTACTATACCAACTGGTCCCAGTACCGGAAGGGTGATGGGAGCTGCCTTCCCGATGCCATCGACCCCTTCCTCTGCACCCACGTCATCTACAGCTTCGCCAACATAAGCAACAACGAGATCGACACCTGGGAGTGGAATGATGTCACGCTCTACGACACGCTGAACACACTCAAGAGCAGGTAGGGCCACAGGCTGCCAGGACAGGAGGGAGTTGGAGGGCTAGACCGGCTGGTGCCAGGGCACGGCACCTCTGCTGGGGACGCGGGTGACGGCCCCCAGGACCCTGCTGGGGAATCCGAGGGCCCGGGCTTCCGTGGGAGCAGGTGATGAGCACCCATGCTGGGCCAGACCTGGTGACGATGAAGGCAGGCTACGGAAGGAGCCCAGCGGAGCTCCAGGGGCGGGGTCGGGGGGGGCAGCCCTCTCCCCCACTGGCGGTGCCTCTCCAGGGAACATAGGAAATGCTCACGACTCTATTTTGCTGTATCCTGGTTTCCCCACTCAGGGGAACAAACGTGGGCCGCGTACCTCAGGGTGACTGCCGCAGTCTATGCGGATCTCGGGTTGGGAGCCCCTCCCGCCCAGCGCTGAAAGCCTTCAGCAGCCTCCCACCCCCGGGGCAACTCATGTTACAACAGCCTCATTCCACCCGGCCCTCCTGCCTCCCTGTGCCCCACAGGAACCCCAACCTGAAGACCCTCCTGTCTGTTGGAGGATGGACCTTTGGTTCTCAAAGGTAGGAGCCAACTCCCGGAGGATGGAATGGGGGTGAGGAGGCACAGACCTTCCCTACCCACTCTGCAGGGTCCTGGGAGCCCCAGACTGATAAGGCACAGGGTCCTAAATGGTTGCCAGGCGCCCACCCCGTGAACAGCCCCAAAACCCAAGCCCGGAGAAGAATAGGGCCTGCCAAGAGTCACATAGCCTGTTGCCAGTCCGTCTTCCGACTGCCTATTATCCATTTACTGCCTCTCAGAGTTGAAAACACAGAACTTCTGGGAGAGACTACCCTAAGCACTGGGAGGAGAGAGATGGAAAGAATGGAAAAGTTGGGAGTTAGAGAGCCTGGAGGACTCCCTGAAGCGGGTAGGGTTGGAGCAGGGTGTGAAGTGGGGGGCAGACGCAGCTCTGATAGCTCCCACCTACTGAGTGACCGCTGGGCATCAGGCACCCCGCCCAGCCACGACCACAGGTGATCCCCCAGCAGCACCGGCGCACACCAATTGTCCCCACTTCACAGACAAGGAAACTGAGATGCAGGCTGCGACCTTTCCGAGGTGGCTTGGCTAGTAGGCATTAGCGCAGGGCCTGGAAACCAGAGCCGCTGCTCCAGAGCTCTGTCTCAGGGGCCCGGAGGTGGGTCCTGCCCCAGCCATGCCCTCTGGGGTGCTGGGGTTCAGGCCCCCCCTTCCCAAGGCCTCAGAAACCCCTGGAGACAGCCATGGCCCCCAGCAGGTCAGCACTGAGCACTCTCCCGGGGTGATCTGGGCCCTAGATTTTCCAAAATAGCCTCCAAGACCCAGAGTCGCAGGTCTTTCATCAAGTCGGTGCCACCGTTTCTGCGAACCCACGGCTTCGATGGGCTGGACCTGGCCTGGCTCCACCCCGAGCGGAGAGACAAGCGCCACTTCACCACACTGGTCAAGGTGCTGGTCGGTTGGGGAGAGCGGGGGGGAGGGGGGCTGGCCCCAGGGAGCGGGGTGGGCCGGAGCTGTCTTCAGCCGCTGGCCCCCCGAGGGCAGGCGGACAGGGGCCTGAGGTCTGGGGTCTGGGACCCAGACCAGGGAAGGACTAACTGGCCTGTGCCCCGAGATCTTAGACAACAAGGGGGATATCTTGTGACCGTGCTGGGGGTGCGGTGGGGTCCGCAGAGGCTGGAGGGCACCAAGCAGAGCACCCCCCACCTGTCACCCATCACTGCCCACTGAGCAGGGAGCATCATTACCGCCAGTTTGATCCGCAGCAGGCACTGCCTTGGCCGTATCTGAAGGGGGCGGCCCGAGCATCTCTATCACCCAGGGGCACACTGATTGTCTAAACAAATTGTCCATGGTGCCAACATTATTTTAATTTTAAAGACCACTTTAATTTTGTGGTCTCATTTACTGGCATGAACAAAACACAAACTGAAAAACAAAGTTCTTCCAACACGATCTGTGGGCCAACGAGGACCACCGTCTGTCCTCACGGTCCCTCTGGGACAGGCAGCAGCTGAGCATCGATGGGGACGTGTGGGGTGTGCGGACGTGACTGGTCCAAATGGTTTTTTAGGAAAAGGGTGGGTGAGACCAAGGTGCGGCCACCAATGGGTCAGTTTATCACTCCCCTGAAGCCCCATCATGTTGGGGGTCCCTGCCGATGAGGAAGATCAGCGACCTTGAGGAGACCTTGGCCTGTGTCCAGAGACTCCCTCTCACAGCCGGGGCCCCTTTCTCTCTCTCTCTCTCTCTCTCTCTCCCAGGAAATGAAGGCTGAGTTTGCGAGGGAAGCCCAGGAGGGAGCAGGGCAGCTTCTGCTGCTCAGCGCAGCAGTGTCTGCGGGGAAGGTGACCATCGACAGTGGCTACGACATGGCCCAGATCTCCCGGTGAGTCTCCTCCGCGCGGAGTCAGAAGACTGGCTTTCTAATCCGTCGTTCTTCCAAAGACTTGATGTATGGCCTTGAGCAAGTAGTCACTTCTGCTCTCTGTGCCTCAGTCTCCCCGTCTGTCAAAGGGGGCACAGTCATCTTTGTCCCTCCTCTTTCACGTGGGGTATTGTGCTGCGCAGCTGAGAGGGTCTCTATGAATGCATTTGCGGGAAAGGAAGTAGGAAATGCTGCACAACCTGGCCCGTCACCGCGAGCACGTTCTCCGCCCGGGGCTTTCCTCCACGGAGTGCGGCCACTGGGGACGCGGCACAGCAGCAACAACACTGGGCATTTCTAGACCCGAGGCGCCTTCACACACATAGGCCACCCCCTCCCTGTTCACCCCTCCTCGCCGCCCTGCCTTCTTCTGCACGCGAGGATGAGCAGTTCTCAGCCAGGAGGGGCTGATGTCTCAGTGGAAGCAGACACGGACCTTAGGGAGCCCAGGAGTAAAGACGAAGGCTCTTCACTATGACTTTTCAGAAGCTTCTTTATGATCTCGGGGAGGTGTAGACTCAGTGTTGAAACCGACCGTTCAGGAGGAAGGAGCTAGATGGCTCTCGACCATCTGCCCTGAACACCTGAAGCTCATGTCCACGCAACCCACATGCGTGTGTAAAGCTTCCTCCCTGCCCCAGTGGCCTGTGGGTTCAGGCCTTCCTTTGCTCCATCTCTTTCCCCACCAGGCCTTGTGTTGATGCCACGTTCAATCTGCTTTCAGGAGGATGAAGGTGGCGGGGGCAGACAAGGGTGGAAGGGAAACACGGAGGCCGGCTCCCGACTGTGTGCTGGGGACGTAGCAGAGCAACTCCACCCTCGCCTTGGGCGCACTTGCGGGGCCCTGAGCCCACTCCCTGGCGCGGCCTGGACAGTGGTTCCGGGGCTCTAGGGGTTAAAGGCCTGCCTGGCTACCCATTACATCGTGCTGGGGAATGGACATGAGGCTGTGAGACTTTCTAATTTCCTGCCTCGCCCTCTGACCTCTCTTCCCTAGACACCTGGACTTCATCAGCCTTATGAGCTATGACTTTCACGGAGCCTGGCGTCAGACCACCGGACACCACAGCCCCCTGTTCCGAGGCCAGATGGATGCAAGTTTTGACCGATTCAGCAATGCTGTGAGCTTGGAAGGCGGGTGGGTGGCCAGGAGGGGGCCCCAGAGACCTGTCACCTGCCTGTGCTCACACACCAGCCCTGTACACCTGGGGAATCCTGCAACAGAGGACATATGGGGCCCACTCCACAGATGAGGAAACTGAGGCCCATAGTCTGTGAGTTCTCCATGGCTGCAGAAGGGAGGAGGCAAGAGTCTAGTCTAGGCCAGCCTTGCACTTGTCGGGTAACCTGAGCCCGATTGGCTGCTGACGGTAATAATCCCTTCCTCTACCTAAGATAATTTTTTTTTCGAGAATGGAACTACAAAATGCACTTTAGACTGCTATTATCAGCTCCCGGAAGGAAGTGAATCCCGGATGCCCAGCACATCCCCTGCCCCTGGTCAGGGCAGCAGTGGGAGCTGTTCGGTCTTGCCCACCTTGCCCCACCAGCACCACTAACAGCTCATACCCCCCCCCCCCAGGACTATGCCGTGAGCTACATGCTGAGGCTGGGGGTCCCAGCCAATAAGCTGCTGATGGGCATCCCCACCTTTGGAAGGAGCTTCACTCTGGCCTCCTCCGACACCGGTGTGGGTGCCCCCATCTCAGGGCCGGGATTATCAGGCCAGTTCACCAAGGAGGAGGGGATCCTGGCCTACTATGAGGTATGAGCTAGGGAGAAGGTAAGAGCCTCACACACTCAGAGGCCCCGAGGAGGTGAGCCTCTCACCCTGCCCCCCTCTTTTTGCTCCTTTGCGAGTAAAACACTATGTTCTGGTGAACCTAGTGCCCTGAGGAGGGAGAAGAGGAGAGGTCAGGCCTCTTGCTCCCGAGTCCCCTGCAGGCACACCTGGCTGCCTGCCTGGCTCCCACGCGGCCCTCTGGTCCTAGCTGAGGTCTTCCTTCCAGCCCAGGAAAGAGCGATGGCTGAAGGGCGGGTTCCCTTGCCTGGACCCCTCTGCTGCTCTCTACCGCTTTGGGCCCCTTCGTGCCACCTCCTCGTTTCCTCCCTCTCTAAGATGCCAGAAGCAAACCAGAGTCCCCCCCCAGTTGCCTCAGGCTACAGCACCCCCAGGACCCTGGGACACTTGCATCTGGTTTGCATAAATTTGCATGAAGACTGCAGTCTGGGGGCTGGGGGCCGGGGTGGCGGCTGAGCAGGATGAAGCGAGGGGCTGAAGGAGACTTGGGCAGTGGCATCTCCCGGTGCCCTGCAAGGTCTCACGCAGCTCTCCGTGCCATCTGCCCTGTCCTCTGCTCAGATCTGTGACTTCCTCCGCGGAGCCTCGGTCCACAGGCTCACCAGCCAGCAGGTCCCCTACGCCACCAAGGGCAACCAGTGGGTGGGGTATGATGACCAGGAGAGCGTCAAAAACAAGGTAGGCTCTCAAGGCCTCACCCCAGGATGAAGAGGGAAAGGGAGCCCGGATTCAGGTCCCTGCACGAGGTCCTGGAGGTGCCTGCTGGTCCTGTCCCTCAGGGAGCCCAGGGGAACCCAGCTCTGCCCGCTGTGGGTCTTCCCCACAGGTGCGGTACCTGAGGAACAGGCAGCTGGCTGGCGCCATGGTGTGGGCCCTGGACCTGGACGACTTCCGGGGCACCCTATGTGGCGGGGCTGCACGCTTCCCCCTCACCAGTGCCATCAAGGACGCGCTCACGGCGGCCTAGCCTGTGTCCTGCCCACAGGGGGGGGAGGGATGCCCTTGCCCTTGGCTCTGGCTGGCCAGGAGCCTATCGCCCGCCCTGCTGAGCATCCCCCAGCCTCAGTCTACCTGCCTTGGGCCCCCGCAGAGGAGCCCCCAGCTCAGCTCCGGTGCACAAGTGGGTAGAGGGGGGCCCTGGGCAGCTGGGGCCTGGGGAGGGCAGAGCGCAGGACACAGCCCAGCAGCCCCTGCGGATTCGTGAAAATGCTCGATGGCCCCAGTCCCACACGGAGGTGCCTTCGACCCCCTCCCCAGGCGTCCTTGCCAAAGAAGGCCATTTGGCCAGCGCTGCCCCACGCAGCCAAGCACGTCCCACGAAGCAGCCGCCGCACGAATCGCCCTCTCAGGGCCCAACTTGAAACCCTGCGGCCAGGAACATGACCACGTCCCCCCACTTCCCCTTCCTAATTCCGCAGCCGCGGCTCAATAAAGCACCAGAGCTTCCCCGTGTTGGCGCTTGCTTGGCCCGTCTCTGTGCCCCCACAGGGCTCCCGGGGCTCCCCTCCCTCACCTCTTCCGCATTCCTCTCTGAGGCTTGGGGGCTTGGAGCTTGTAGGAGGTGCAGCAGGAGAGGCTCCCCTGGCCTCTTCTGGGCCCCAGGGAGCCCCAAAAGGGGGCCAGCCCCCTCAGATCCATCCACCGAGGATTTAACCCAGGAGGGCTGACGGCTTTCCAGGTATTGACGTAGTCCAGGCCTCTTGACGCAGTTCCTTGTTCAAAGAAGCCTCTTCTGTTTCCCAGAGGGTAGCAGGTGCTAGGAAGGAAGTCGCTTCATTCCAAACCCTCATCTCTGAGCGCCTGGGAGGGGTAGGGAGCCAACCCAAGGCCAGGTGAGAGAGCCCCGACCCTAGCCACTCAGGGCCAGAAGGAGACCCCGGAGCCCTCCTGCACCCTCCCCCCAGCCCAGGCTAGAGTCTCTGCAGGCTCTTCGGTCTCCTCGGAGAATCCCGGAGGCCGTAGGTGGCTCATGAACTTAAGGACCCCCTCCATTGCTGGTCTGAAACAGGTGTCCTAGGGCCGCAGCTCAGCCCTCTGCCTCCCTCGTCTCTCCTCTTGGGACCCACTGGGCCCTCAGGCTGGCTGGGGACACGAGCCGGCAGGCAGTGGGATGGGAATACATGGGGTGGGCTCCAAAGACCAGCCAGGCTTCCAGCCTTGATGAGGTAGAAGTGCTCTCATCAGGTTTCTGTGCATCTCCCAGGGCCCCCGACAGCCCTTGCCTCCAGAGCCCAGATACACACTCCAAAGTCAAAGGGAATTTCTGTGTGGATTCCCTCCTGTGTGGACTATCCATTTGTGACACTGGTTTGAGGTGTAGGGAAGGAGGTACCTATCGGCCACCCTGAAACCTGAACCGGCTGGAGCTGGGCAGATGCAACTGATCCCAAGGTCACTAAAGGCAAAGAAAGTGAGAACGTGGCCAAAGCCGCAGGAGGGCACCTGGCAGCACATCGCGGGCCGGGGGGCCGGGTGCTCGCCAACCCCTTCCCCTTGCCCACCGCACCACACGAGGGTCTTCGAAACCCCAGGGCTGCCCACCCTCCAGGGCAGCCCAGCCCCGTCCTCCTCCCTGGAGCCACCCTTCCCCCAGCCTGGGCCAGGCTCCCCAGGCTGACTCAGGGTACGGCAGAGTTAGTCACATTCACTTATAGCTGTGGAGTCAGAGGCCAGGGATGGGGATCGGGTCTCCGGGGCCCGCCTCCTGCCTGGCAGGACACTGAGTCACCTGGCAGAGGGCAAGGCACCCAGGCCGGGCCGGACCCCGGGGCTCCCCAGGCCCTCCGCGGCCACTCTGCCACAGATGGCCGGCAGCGACAGGAGCCCCAGGGCAAGGAGGACAGCCCGCGTGTGGCTGGGGGCCCTAAGTCAACGACATGTGTATTTATTTTTAAATGTTGGGAGACACCATACACGCTAAAGAATGCGCGAGATGGATTTGTGTCATTTAGAGAATGACTGGTGAGAACCGGTGTAACCCCCACACCCCCGGGATGGGAAATGAGACCTCAGCAGTGTCTCTGAAACCCCTCCAGCTCAGAACCCCCATCCTTCCGCCTGGAGGCAGCCACTCCTGACTCCTCTGCCTCCCTCTGGGGTCTTATCATCTAGAAGCCCCTGGAGGAAGGGAGCCTGGGGGTGCCTGTGTTTGCACTGAACATGGGGGGGGTCCCGCCGCTCCGTGAGCCTTCCTCCCTTCATTCACCTGGAAGCTGTTCCATTTGTCACGTCACTGCCCCCCCCAGGCAAGCTGCAGTTGGTTCGTCGGGTCCCGTATTCTGGTTATGGGGGCGCGCGCTCCGCAGTGGGGGGACAGCTGCTGCCCCGGCTCGGGCTACCACAGGCAATGCTGCTGGGCGTGTCCACGAGCATGTCTCCGGGGCTCGCGGGTGACGTTTCCAGGGCTGTCGCTGTCGGGCCGCAGATGGGCCCATTTTCTGTTTTCACCAGGTGCCACCTCACTTTTTCCAAAGGGATGCCTCTGACCACCCCTCGCGCCGGCGACGGCAGCTCTGTGGCCTCCCCTCCTCCTGACATGGGGGTATGTTCAGGCTCCTTAAATGATTGCCAGCATGAATGTCTTATTGGGTGAATGAATCAGTGAGGGGACACTCGGTGGTACCGACCCCATTACCCTCCTCGCAGATGCCCATGCCCGGCTTCGAAGAGTCAGAGTGCTGCCCTCCTCCAGGGTCTCTTCTGGCCGGGTCCCATGACTTCACCTCACTCGCAAGGGCTAGGGGACTGTCACCGGGACTGGGGAGCCCGAGTCCGCTCCGGCCTCTCCAGCAGAGGCAGTGACATAACCGGGGGCCTGGGGCCGTGGTGCTGGAAGAGCTTCCTCCAAGCAGCCTCACCCTGGGCATCCCAGACCCCTCCCTCTCCAGAACCCTCAACCCCGCACAGCACACGTGACAGTGCCCAGGGACCGTGAGGCCAAGGGGACTGTGGGATCCCAGGAGCAAGGCCGGGCGTGCTCCCCAGGGAAGGCCGTCTCAGGCTCTCTGGGTCCCAGCACCCAGACCAAGAAGCCCTGGGTACGAGTGGCCCCACAGAGGCCCAGACCCAAAGCCTGGTCTGGGTTCCTCCTCCAGATGGAAGCTCTTGTTCCCACTGCGCTGGTCCCTGGCATGGGCTCCCGGCAATGTCCCGTCTCACCCATCTGTGCCCGCCTCCCATCCGGCACCAACACCCTGACTGCTGTGATGGACGAGGTCGCACGCTCCTCCAGGGACCCTGCGGTTCCTCCCCCAGAGCTATTCCTGGCCTAGGCGTCTCCCTGCCCCCCAGTCCCCCTGCCTGACCTGACCCCACAGCTGGGAATCATCATTTGGCTGGGGGTGGGGCAGCCCTGGACTATATAAGCCTGGACCTAGGTGTCCCGGGCACCCTGGAGGCCCAGACCCTCCCTGCTGACCCCTGCCCACTGCAGCCTGCCCGCCCCCAGCCAGCCCGGCAATGACGGAAGAAGCCACCTCGGAGGCCCCCACCTGTGGTCCGGAGGAGACTGGCTCTGAGCCTGCCCAGGCATCCCCCGCAGAGCCCTCCGGAGACGGGGCAGCATCGGAGCCGACCAGGAGTCCCACGCCTCCAGAGCCTGCCTCTCAGGCACCTGCCCCCACAGCCCCTGCAGCCCCCGCAGCCACTAAAGCTGCACCTCCCAGTGAAGGTGACAAGAGGTGGGGCAGGTGGAGGAGGGGGGCAGGCAAGGCAGGGAGAGTGGGGTGGGCGGACCTCCTCGGCTCCCCGTGCTTCTCCCTCAGACGTGCCCAGTGCCCCGCTGCTGCTGGCTGTGGAGGATGTGAGTGACAGCTCGGTGACCGTGAGCTGGGAGCCTCCGGAGAGGCTGGGGAGGCTGGGACTCCAGGGCTACGTGCTGGAGCTCTGCCGAGAGGGAGGTGAGCTCTGGGCTAAGCCCTGCGGACACCGGGGAGGTGGGCTTGGGGCATGGCTGAGCCAGCCTGGGGGCAGATACAGAGGGAGGAAGTGCACGTGGGCCCCTCCAGCCACTCACCTGCCACCTGTTGCTCGCCCCATGTGCCGCTGAGGCAGGGGGTGTCCAAATGACCTCGGGAGATCCCCCACCCCGTCCTCCAGCTCTGGGGAGCCTCTGGGTGAGTAACAGAGAGAGAAGGGTTGGGGCCAGTGGGTGCTGCTCTCATGAGAAGTGGAGACGCTGGGTCGCAGAGGAGCCTGCTTGGGGAGGGCAGGCAGGAGGTGGAGGCCAGGGAAGCCGGGAGTTGAGGGGAGACAGTGGGGAGAATCAGGGGACCAGGGCCGCAGCCCATGTCCTGTTCACCCCCGTGGTGGCCGAGGTCAGCCTGGCTTCTGCCCTTGCCCACCCTGCGGTAGACTTGGCACATGTGTCCTGCCCTCTCCAGGCCGCAGCCACACCTCCCCCGGCCACCTTCCCTGGGTTTTAACACCAGGTGTCTTTGGTGCCATCTGACAAGAAGTCAGGGAAGGAGAGCAAGAGAGAAATAAGGCCCAGGATGGGAGGAGGGTCAGCTTCCCCAGGTCACCAGGGAGAAGGAAAACCCCGGTGAGTAGGGCGCCCGTGGTCACGAAGCCGGGGCCTTCCGTGCCGTCCCTTTCCCCAGCCTCGGAGTGGGTGCCCGTGAACGCCCGGCCCGTGATGGTGACCCAGCAGACCGTGCGGAACCTGGTGCTGGGAGACAAGTTCTTCCTGCGTGTGGCTGCAGTGAGCTCTGCGGGGGCCGGCCCACCAGCGGTGCTCGAACAGCCCGTCCACATCCAGCAGATCATCGGTAAAGCCCATCCTTTCCTCTCCTGCCCTCCAGCCCGTCCCAGGCACCTCAACGATAGGTGGGCCAACGGGCGGAGGAAAGAGGACAGGCACCTCCCCGTTCCCCCCGGCACGTGCACGAGCTGCAAGCTCTCCCCACCCTGCCTCCAGAAAGTTCCAGGTTCCTCAGCCACAAGCCTCAGGAGGTCAAAGAGGCCGTCATCTGCCCAAGGGGCCCAGCCCCGAGCATTGGGAGAGGGGCTCCCTGACCCCCAGAAATGAAAGCTCAAGCTCCCCAGGTCAGCCGCCTCGGCCTCCCAGTGCTAAGAACCGCTCTGCTCTTCCTCCCAGCTCATCTGAATCCCTCCAGCGGCCATGGGAGCTTCTTTCCTGCCCATTTTCTGCTCGTGTCACATGGCCTGAGTTCTAGGTCCTCCCAAAGGTTTTGGAACAGAGAGAAGTCTTTGCTTGCCTCTTATCCCACCAAGTCCCTAGTGGGAGAAAGACGAGAGCCTGCGGGCCCGCGGAGCCTGCTCCGTCCCCAGAGGGCAGCGGGGCGCTGGGGGGCAGCTGCCGTCCCTTTGCTGCAGTTCTATTTGCAGGGCATTAGCCTCCCGCCTGCCCTCGCTCCCTTCCCAGAGCCGATCGGGTTTCAGTCTGTTAATGGCAGTGAGTCATTTGGTCTGATCCGAGGTCTCTGGGGACAGCCCAGGGCCCAAGGTGAAGAGCGACACAGGCCAGCAGGTGGCCCGAGCCCTCTCCGCCTTCCTTCTTGTTCTTCCATACCCACAGTTTTGAACGAGGCCTCCAAAACGAGGGGGCTTCGGGGCCACGGCGGGGGTCCAGTTCAATTCAAGGAAATACTTCTCAACCTCAAGGCCCAAGAGATGGGGGCCCTGGGGAGAGGGAGGTCAGAGCCACAGGCTGTGGCGGCCGGTGCATCCAAGCCGTGCCCGTCCGGGGGGCCCGGGGACCGCCTTGAGGTCACCCACCCCGTTAGCAGCAACACCAGGACCGGCCTCACACACAGGGCCAGTGACATGCCCCCAAGCGTTAGGGGGTCCTCTCGGGGACCCTCCCGCCCTTCGAGTCTGGGTGAGACAGGACCACCCCCCCACCCCCGGCCGGCAGCCACAGCAGGGACACGTGGACTCTAGCCTGGAGGCGCTGGAGGGTCCTGGGCCTGCCCCAGGGAGCTCAGACTGGGGGGGGGCATGGAGGCTGGGGCCCTGTACCGCACGGCCCGGCGCTCAAGGAGCTGGCCGGACTCAGCACCCACAACTCCATTAAAGTTCCTCCGGCGGGAGAGAAGGGAATTTCCTGGAGAGAAGACGGGGTGGGGGGGGGGTGGGGGGGGGGGGGGGTGGGGGGGGGGGACGGGACGCCACGGGCAACAGGGACCAGCCAGGCCCTCCTCGCGCGCAGGCAGGGTGGGGACCTCGCCCAGAATCCTGGGCTGCTCAGCTGTCCCTCCTTAGCCACCTGCAGCTGCCAAGCATTCCCGGCCCCCGCAGCTGCCCCTGGAGCCTCCACTCCTTAGGCTCCCGGGCCAAGCGCCTGCACAGCTAATCCTCGGAGACACAGTGTTCCTTCTCGCCACCTCCTCCCCTGCAGCCTGTGTGCCACCGACCAACTGCTGCCACCTGTTTGCTGCCGAGGAGCCTCAGCTACCACCACTCCTGCCCCCAGGCCCAGGAAGGGGGGTGGAGGGCAGGGGCCGCGCAGCCTCCCCGGGAAGGCCCGATGGCTTTGGTGCTTGCACCTGATTAGGTGGTGGTCAGAGAGGGAGCTCCCTGACGTCCAGGGGATACGGACGGAAGTGATACTTCAGTGATATTTCCAACCGTGAGACTGAAAGGTAGTGGGGGAGGTGACAGAGGAAGAAGAGGGTGCACGTGCTCGGCCTCATCTAGGGGAAGATCCCAACCCTCCCCTGCGGCCTCCCACGCAGAGACGGGCACATGGGTCCCACAGGAGCCTCTCTGGAGGTTCTGGGTTGCTGTGCAATGGAGGGAGCTGGGTTAGGAGGGGGAAGGCTGCCGACAGGTGCAGCGCCCGCTCCCCACTGGGGGCACCAAGGAGCCCGCCAGGCCCCAGCTGAGCCCTGGAATGCTTGGGCTGCGGGGCAAATGCCAGCCTGGCAGGGTCAGGACATGGAGGGAGTGCCCGGGATGCTTACGTCTTCACACCACGGAGCCCTGCCCTCCCGGAACCTCCCAGCTCTCGGCTCCCTGCCCGCCCTGGGGGATCCGGGTCCCTGGAGCTGCCCTTCCCACAGGCAGGCAGCCCCGCACCTGCCAGGAGCCCCCTGCCCCCCCCCCCAGCCCAGGGACCTTCCCAGGGGTTCCTGAGCGTGCACAGTAGCTTCCGGCCAGCAGTCCCGTGTGTGCTAAGCCTAGGCCCTCCCTCTGATGCAGAGCCCCCCAAGATCCGAGTCCCCCGCCACCTTCGTCAGACCTACATCCGCCAGGTGGGAGAGACCGTCAACCTGCAGATTCCCTTCCAGGTACGTACGGCTCCTGCCCAGGACAACAGCCTGGGTAGAAATCACAGCCCCACCTGGCGAGTGTCAGAGGAGCCCAGGAAACGTCAGGGTCCTCATGAGGTCAGGCCTATGACCCTATGACCCACCCAGATAGCTTCACGGTCCCTCTGTTGTACACCTGCCTCAGCTGTGACTCCTCAGCCTGTGTCCCAGGCTGGCTGGACACCTGGAGAATGAGGCTGAGTGGCACCGGGGACTCCAGCCTCTGCTGCCCCTCCCGGGAAGGGCTGCCGGGCCGGCTCCCCCGAGCACAACTCCAGAGATCCCTGGAGTTGAGAGGGGCTGGGGGTGCCGGTGCCTCCTGCACCTTCCCTGAGAGCTCCTCCCCGCAGGGGAGTCCCAAGCCTCAGGCCTCTTGGACCCACGACGGCCACGCTCTGGACGCCCAGCGGGTAAATGTGCGCACCGGGGACCAGGACTCCATCCTCTTCATCCGCTCGGCCCAGCGCTCCGACTCCGGCTGCTACGAGCTCACCGTGCGTCTGGAAGGCTTGGAGGCCAAGGCAGCCATCGACATCCTGGTGATTGGTACGGGGCCAGGGGAGGCAGGGCGCCCGGCTGGGACCTCAAGACCCCACCTCCTACCAGAGCTGATGCTGATGGGACTGGGCCAGGGAGTGTGACAGGAGCCCGATCTTGGGGGTGGAGATTTTGCGGCAAGCCCCGGCGTCCCCCTCATTCCCCCTCATGCTCTGGTCCTGCAGAGAAACCTGGACCCCCCAGCAGCATCCGGCTACTGGACGTCTGGGGCTGCAACGCTGCCCTTGAGTGGACGCCGCCCCAGGACACAGGCAACACAGAGCTCCTGGGGTACACGGTGCAGAAGGCAGACAGGAAGACAGGGGTGAGGCTGCTGGGGCCGACGGGTGGGGAAGCGACCAAGGTGGCCCCCAAGGCCCAGCCCTCCAAGAGTCCAGGGGCCGAGTTCTCCTCTAACCACTGCTAGCCTGACTCCTCGCGTGGTGTTTTTTTAGCAAGACCCCTTCCCTCTCTGGGCCTCGTGGCCTCCTGAGGGCTGCAGGGGGCGGCTCTCTGAGGCCCTTCAAGGTCTAGAGCAGCTTCTGGGAGGGTAGTGTACCTATGAATCACCTGGTCTGGTGACCTTAATTCAGTAGGTCTGGGGCCGGAGCTGAATCCTGGCTTGCAAGAGGTTCCCAGGTGATTCTGAGTCTGCGGGTCCTCCTGGAGCAGTAGGAATTTAGAATTCTCTGAGGACCCCCAGGAGGTCATCGGAGTGATCCAGGAACCCCCTCTCCCAACGCTGGATGGCTCAGCCCCCTAGGGGTAGGGCCTGGAAGGAGCCCCTCCGAGGAAGGGGCCACAGGGTGAGTGGGATGGGGAGTGCAGGAGTCAGAGGAGAGGGTGACGGGCCCGGGGTCCCCACAGCAATGGTTCACGGTGCTGGAGCGCTACCACCCGACCACCTGCACCATCTCTGACCTCATCGTGGGAAACGCCTACTCCTTTCGGGTCTTCTCGGAGAACCAGTGCGGGCTCAGTGCCACGGCTGCGACCACCAAGGAGCTAGCCCGCATCCAGAAGGCAGGTGGGTCCGGAGGTGGGACCAACACCAAGCAGGGCCTGCCCCAGCCCCCAGCTCGGCCTTTGCAGAGCATCAGCACCCCTCCCGGTGGGCCTCTTGTGGGTGCTGCTCGCCAGAGCGTTTGCTGTGCCCCCTGCACGCCCACCGCACAGTTACGCACACGCTCACGCATTCACACGAGAGACTGTAAAGAAATAGGATGTGGTCGATCGATCTTAACAAACGCATCACAACAAGCCCATGCAAAGGAGATGCGCCCCGTGGGAGGCTGTACGCTTGTTCTGAAGCTGCTGGTGGCCGCCAGCCTCACAGCGGTCACTGGGGCTCGTGTGCAGGGTCCCGGGGGAGCTCCTCCGGGGCCTAGTGTGCGTGGGTGGGTAGAGCCCGGTGAGTCGGCTACAACACAAGCCTCCTGACCCCAATAGAACGGGACCCAGATGGACAGGAGAGATACGGGTATTTACTGTCTCCACACGGCCCCATGACCTGCTTGCGTCAAATACGAAAGGCCAAGACCTTGCTCCCCGTCACCCTGCCATCTCCAGGCCCCCTGCCGCACGGAGTCTGTGTGGGCTCCGGAAGGCACACTCTTTTTAACACCAGCCTGTGCTGCACAGAATTAGGAAGAAATTCTGGTTTAAAAAAGGAAAGTCAGCCAGGTTTCCAAAGACAACAGAGATGAAATGTGGTCTCTCTGGGTTGCAAGTTCCCAGCCTTGGCCAAGAGCATCTCATCTGGCCTGTTTCCCTGCTCGTTGCCTCCCGTCCCCTCCCTGACCAACTAGGCACGGTCACGGCTTTCCTCTGCCTCTCTGAGACCGTCTGTCTCTGAGTTCTCACACGGTGGCCATGCGGGCTCCCCGAAGGCCCCGGGGGCCCGGGGTCCTGCCCGGGGCTCCTTTATCCCACGGCAGCAATGCAATGGTTTGTCTCCTGCCCCTGTGATGCCAAGATCCTCTTCCAGGCCGTCGGCTCTCTGCCCGGAGCCATGGTCATCATGTGATTTCCTATCCCTCGGCCCCAAACTCACCAAGTGATGTTGGGCAACTCGCTCACCCATGAAGGGCCTTAATTTCCCATCTGTCCGGTAGCAATAACAGAGTCGCCCTTGCAGAGGGATGCCATGTAGGTTAAGTGAGACGACCCAACTGTACGCTAGAGTGATTATTTTCGGAAAATGAAGTCAGCTCTAAGAGGTCTATTTGCCCCCTTTGTCTCCTGAACCCAGATATTGTTGCCAAACCTAAAGGGTTTGTGGAGCGAGACTTCTCCGAAGCCCCGTCGTTTACCCAGCCCCTGGCTGACCACACCTCCACCCCTGGCTACAGCACGCAGCTCTTCTGCAGTGTCCGAGCATCGCCCAAGGTGAGGGGCAGGCCCCGCTGTGCCGGGGGGATGGGGGGACGGTGGGCTTGCGGAGTCTCCCCAGGAAGCTTCTTCCAAGCCCAACCCAGCCCATCACCTCCTCGGCCCTCCTCTGCCCGCAACCCCCCTAGCCCAAGATCATCTGGATGAAAAACAACATGGACATCCAGGGTGACCCCAAATACCGCGCCCTCTCGGAGCAAGGCGTCTGCACTCTGGAGATCCGCAAGCCCAGCCCCTTTGATTCGGGCGTCTACACCTGCAAGGCCGTCAATGTGCTAGGGGAGGCGTCCGTGGACTGCCGGCTGGAGGTCAAAGGTAAAGGTAAGAAGAAAGTCCTTCCCCAGGGATGGTCCCTTAATAGAGGCCACCTCCTCTCCTGCTGGGCGTGACGAACCTGGGTGCCGGCAATCGGCAATCGAGGAAAGACAATGAGACAGCAAAGACAGAGAGGGCCAGCTGGCGGAAGGATTTCCCAAGCGGGAGGATGGCCCCACGTGGGCGAAGGAGGTAGCTGAGGCTGCCGCTTGGGCTGCTTGGAGCCCCTCTCCTCCCACGACCTCCAGCTTGGGCTTGGGTCCCCCACTCTGACTGTGGCATCTCTTCCAGCATCAGCCACACACTGAGGAGCGACAGGAGGCTGCGATGAGGACGGTAAATGGTTGGACCCTCTGTCTCAGGGTGTGTAGAGCCCGGAGCAGGGGTGGGGGGTACAGGGGAAGGTGGTAGTCGCCCGTGGAGACAAACCCGCAGTCCCGGGCTGCGTGCACGTAGGACAGGTGTCCAGGCCTGGCTCTGAGTGCCCCCAGCCAGGGCATTCCCTTGGGCCTGTTCCCTTGTCAGCAAAGTGGGAACAAGGACCTGAGTCCCCCCCCTCCCCAGGTGGTTGGGAGGCTCTGGACCAGTTGGGAGGCCTCCCGGAGCCGCGGTGGCTGAGCTAAGCGCTGGGCAGTGTGTGCATAGGACGGGCGGCCTGGGAAGGACGGGGAGCTGCGTCCCTCTGCCCCTGCTCACGTCTTCAGCAGGGCGGTGGGGCCCAGGGCTGCCCAGCACGAGGCTCATGCAGCATGTTCTCTGGCAGGTGCTGCAGACCTGAGGAGCCAGGGCCGCCAGGCTCAGGATTAAGCTCCGCCAACGACACCCCAGAGCCCCGTTTCCATGGTGACGGCTGATGGCTTTGCTCCCAGTACCTGCCTAGCCTCCTCCCTCCCAGAGGCTGGAGCCCAGGAGCCAGGGTAGGCCTGGCAGGGCCAAGGCCAGACTCCCAGGGCGTGAGGGGTCCAGAAGGTGCAAAGACTGGGGTGCCCTGCAGAGTCGCGCTCCGGGTGAGAGCCACTCAAATAAAGGTGTGTGGTGTTACCATGCGGGGCCTCCGTGACAGTGAGCACCCCGGCGATGGCAGGCGCCGTGTCACCGTGAGTGGGGTGGATGTGTCAGCTGAGGGGGTCTCCACACATGACACCTGGAGGAACGTGCCGGTGGGAGGGACTCCGGATGCCACAGGGCTTCTCCAGACGTGAGATTTTTTAGGATCGTGCCTTCACGTTCAGGATGCTCGGCCAAGAGCGTAACTATAGGAACAGACACACTGCTCTGGAACCCTCTTTGTTCCGATGCGTCCCGATTCCCCCCGCCCCGACCCCCGCATTGCTCCCCTCGGCCGGCGGCGGTGCAGGTGAGGAGCCAAGGGTGAGCGCTCCGTCAAGACCCACAGTCTTTTATTAGAAGGTGTCCCCCCTGGGAGCCAGGGAAGAGCCTACCTCTGAGAAAGGGAAGGGCCTGGAATCCAGGCCTGGAGCTGCTCTTCACACTCCGAACCCCGCCCTCACCCCTGGACAAGGGCCCCGGGCCCTGAGCTTGGCAGAGGGCGGACCCTTCCCTGGATGCCCTAAAGCCCATCTAGACGGTGCAGAGCCCCAAAGGCCCTGGAAACTGCTAAGTGCCACGGGTCCTGAGGGTATTTAAATGCCGGCAAGACCTTCCTGCCTCAGCCTCAGGCGGTGCAGCCTGTCCCAAGTCACACCGGGAGCGCCCACGGGCAGCGCTCACCAGGCCGGAGGCTGCGCCCCCCTGTCCCCGGCCCCGAAGCAGCAGCCGGTGTCACTTAGGAGAGTGCAGGCGTCGTCTAAGGCTAGTGGGGCGGTAGCCCAGGTGGCCCCTCACAGCCCCGCTGCTCCCGCTCCTGGGGGGGCTGGGCCAGGCTGGCGCGGGGCTGCCACCTGGTGGCTGTGTGTGGCCGTCCCTTCGACAGGGGCCAGGGGCTGGTGGAGGATCAAGTAAATGTTGGGAATGATTTCTGGACCCGCTCTTCCCGCCCCTCCCAAGTGCAAACCCGATTGCCCCGGGGCAAGAGGGGCAGGCCCCCGGCACCCAGCGTGGCTAGGAGCTCAGGGTCCCGGGAGGCAGGGCTGAGGCCCCCTGATTCCTGACCAGGGACTCTCCCACCTTCTACAGAACAGGAGGGGAAGCAAGACCTTGATGTCCAGCTTCTCTCCGTCCCCTGCATCTTGGAGGGGACCTACCCCGTCCTCAGGCTCTGTTCCAGGGCTTCAGCAGCAGCACCAGCGACAAGCGGGCTCCCTGACCTCCACGGGAGCCCAAGCTTGCCTTCCGGGCCCACGGGACCCCCGCAGCCCCAGTGTCCCCAGGTCCGTCCGGCCTGAAGCACCGGGCTGCCCGTGGGCCGGTCACACAGCTGGGGAGGCTCGAGCCACTTTCTCCGTCTCCTCAGGGCACCCGGTTCCTTCCCCGTGGGCCGTCCTCTCAAACCTCCTCTAGGACCCAAGGTGCAGGCGCCCACACCCCGCAGCCCAGCGGGGAGGGCTCAGGAGTGGGTCAGTGGGGGGGTGGGCCGGGGCGGAGACGCCCCCGACGTGGGCAGGCGGGAGAAGGTGGCGTCTAGTCGTGGGGCGCCTCCTCTGGGGGGTCCTCGTCGACGGGGGGCGTGGGCTGGCAGCGGAAGTGGTCATTCCAGATCTTAAGGAAGGTGACCCGGAACTTCTGGATGCGGAAGGCGTAGACGACGGGGTTCATGGCCGAGTTGCCGTGCGTGAGGAAGATGGCGATGTACATGAGGATGCTGGGCTTCCGGCAGGAGGGGCAGAAGAGGGTGATGCAGTTGAGGATGTGCAAGGGCAGCCAGCTGAGGGCGAAGAGGAAGAGGATGAGGGCCAGCGACTTGGCGATCTTCAGCTCCTTCCCGTAGTACTTCTGCGGGTCGCCAGAGGAGGCCGACACCTTCTTGCCGAGCTGCCTCCGGATCAGATAGAAGACCTCCAGGTAGATGAGGACCATGAGCAGCAGCGGGGGCAGCACCCACACGAAGAAGTTGAAGTAGACCATGTACTCCATGCTGATGACCTTCTCGAACTCGCACTGGATCACGGGCTCGCCGCCGCTGCCGTTGGCCGCCCAGGTCCGCTGCGCCTCCCCCAGCCTGTTCCAGCCGAACAGTGGGGTCAGGCCCACCACAAAGGACAGGATCCAGCAGCCGGCGATGGCCACCGCCGCCCTCCGCGGAGTCACCACCGTCTTGTACCTGGGGGGAGGGCACAGCGTGAGTCCCCACCCCAGGCTCCGCCAGCCCGGGCTCTCCAGGCGGGGCCGTCCCGCCGGGGCCGAGAGCGGGACGTGGGGCTCGGGCGGAGGTTGAGGCCAGGAGCTGAGATCTGGGCCAGGCGGGCGGGCGGGAACCTGCTAGGCAGGAACATCGGACGGACTAAAACTCAAGACAGAACCATCACAGAAGGTAGCCCAGGACCGCCCCGAGGAGCTGGGTCAGACCAGCGCAGTAAACCCCCGGCGCTCGCCCCGACACGCGAGGTCATGTCACACTGCGGCGGCAGCTCCTGGGACGAGGGGAAGCTCTGGCGACGGCGCCCGCGACAGCACTTGGCTGTGCTTCCTCGTCTACGCTGGCAAAGCCAGCCAGTAAGGACTGCACGCTCTTCCCTGGAGGCCAGCTGGCCCTGCACGCCTCCCCCCTGCTCTCAGCCCCAGGCCCCGCCAGCACCCCCACTCCCCTTCCCCTTCCAATCACCGCCCAGTGCTCATCTCTGGGGGGGCCGGAGCTCCCCAAGCTAACGGGGTTACCTCGGGAAGGAGAACCGACGTTCACGCAGCATCTGCTACAAGCAGGGCCCTTGCGTGGACGTGTGCACGGGTGAGTCCACTCAGCCAAACCCAATGCGGGCGCCCTCCGTGTGGGGCGCTGAGGGAGGGAGGGCCCGGCCCTCTGCGCTCACATTTTGGATGAAGAGAGAGACAACACGGACATAAACACACAAGACGGCTACGGCTGTCATCGTCCCTCGAGAGAATGAACAGGTCAGTCCAGGGGATCCCCCTGCCTAGGCCTCCTCGGGTCATGACACTCAGAAAATGGAACCGCGTGGCTGATACAGAAGACAGACAAGGCTGCCCGTGGGCGGCGACTGTGACCCCCCAGGGCGGAGGGCGCCAACATCCTGGGGGCTCCCCACTTCCCTTTACAGCAGCAGGCAGCTCGTCCTCCGCCCAGAGGCTGCCCTGGACCGGGGGTCAGGGCCCGGGGCCGCCCGCTCTGCGCCCAGGAGGCACCACTGGCCCAGTCATTATTTTCCAGGGCGGCTCCTGAGATGGACGGGGAGCCCTCCTGAGCGTGTGAAGAGCCCCTGAGACCCAGGAGGCCTCGCTCCGACTCCTGCGCCTGCAGAATCTGTGGCTTTCCTCTCCAGAGGGATGAGATACTTAAGGCCCTTCTCACCTGGACCCTTTCCCCCTGGGAAGGCTTTGCAGGTATGGGCAGGGGAACGGCTTGGGGGATGGGAGAAAGCAGCCCCCTCACCCCATCTAGGGAGCAAGAACTAGGAGGGACCTTCGGAACCTCTTTTCCAATGTCCTCATCATTCCAATGGGGACAAGGAGGAACCTAGATGACTCCAGCACCTCAGTGTGGCGCCTCCTCGCCCATTCTGCGATCATAGGGTCCTTGTGTCCCCAAAGCACCGGTTCCCTTGTACCTCTTTAAGTTTTCTTACACACAATCTTTATTATCTTGTAACTGAAGCCCTTCCTGCCTCTTGGATCCCCAGCGGGATGGAGAGCCTGGTGCACCCCCGGGGAGCCAGAGGTTAGAAGGTGCAGCTACTACATCAATCAACTCTTGCTCTGTAAAATGAGGCAGTGAATCCCGCTTCAGAAAGTAGGACCAGGGCAGCCCAGGTGGCTCAGCGGTTTAGAGCCGCCTTCGGCTCAGGGTGTGATCCTGGGGTCCCGGGATTGAGTCCCACGTCGGGCTCCCTGCATGGAGCCTGCTTCTCCCTCTGCCTGTGTCTCTGCCTCTCTCTCTCTCTTTCATGAATAAATAAATAAAATCTTAAAAAAAAAAAAAAAGAAAGAAAGTAGGACCAGATGAGACAATCTAAGTGAAAGAGTCTGTAAACACCCCACCCATGTGCCTGTGCCTGAGCTCCTCCCCTCCAAGCCCCTAGTAACACTCACACTTGGAACACCTGCGGTACCTCTAGATGCTCAGCAAACACGGTAACGTCTCTGCAAATATCTGGCTCGGGACTTGTTACTGATCTCAAAGTGCTCCCCACACATTCTGTGGTGAAAGACGCTCTGGGCGCATCTATGGGGCAAGAGCAAAGGAGCAGAGATGATTCTGCGGAGAGAAGGCTGAGGGACACCATCAGGAGGCTGCGGTCGGGAGGCGGGCTTCCCGGGTGAGCCTCAGCAGCACCTAATAGGGCTGCAGCTGCAGGAGGAAGGATGCAAGCCAGGCACCTGCCTGCACCCCCCATTGCAGGCCGGGCACCTGCCTGCACCCCCATCACGGCTCATCGCATGTTTGATTTGTATCACGTCTGCCGTCTGCCGTTGACACAGCCCTTTGTACTTGTGCCTCAGGTCATTGCTGGAACCACCCTGTGACGCAGCACACAAGGGATTACCGTTTCACAGATTAGGAACCCCAGGCCCAGAAATGGCCAATAATTTACCCGGGTCTCCTGACTCCGAGGACAGCTCTCCTCCCGGGCATCAGGCTCACTGAGGTCACTTAGATATGGGATGATGGGCAGATTGGGAACGTCCCTTTCCTAAGAGCTTTAAAATGGGAACATCTGGACCCTGTTCACAGAGGGTACGCCCAGAGATAGGGGAGTGGACAAGGGGACCTCCCGCTGCCGCCAGCCTGAGGCCCGGGGGTGGGGGAAGCAGTGATGACCCACTGAGAGAAGTGGGTCCCGATGGTGACCCAGGTGCGAGAGAGGGGGGAGGCAGCTTCTCACTAGGGAGGCACCCCCTCCCCCTTCCTGATGGCCTTGGAGCCCCAGGGTTAAAGCTTTCCTGGGGCTCCTCCAGGGCCAGGTCCCAGCAGACCTGCAGCTGAGGGTATCAGTTCTCATCTGTTTTTCTTGCTATTTTCTCCGTGGTGGGAAAGGGCTGGACTCAGGACCTTGGCTGAGGTGGGGCAGGCTCCCACAGGAAGGGCAGTGGAGAGGGCCCAGGGCCGAGGAGAAGCTCACCTCTCCCCACACGTGGGAAAGCGAGGCAGAGGCTGCAGGTCCTGGGTGCACACGGGGGAGAGCATGTTGAACGCACCTCCAGTGCTTGCGCTGCCCCTCCCGACTTGGGGTCTGGGGCCTTACCACCCCGGGACTGTGTTGGGAACTAGAGATGGCTGTGCCCGGAGTGTGCAGTCTCACGGAGACAAAGGCAGGCGAGCAAAAGAACAGAGACACTGAAGCCCCAATGGGGCCTTGTCCTCAGGCAAGCAGGGCGGGCAGGGCCTTAAGGACGTCATCGAAGGAACCAGCCCCATCACGGTGCTTACAATCCCACCACTGGTGAGACACTCCTTTGGGTTAAGAATCGGCCCCTCTGTGTGTGTGTGTGCATTTTAAAAGATTTTATTTATTTATTCATGAGATACACAGAGAGGCAGAGAGACACAGGCAGAGGGAGAAGCAGGCTCCCTGCGGGGAGCCTGATGCAGGACTCGATCCTGGGACCCCGGGGTCACACCCTGAGCCAGAGGCAGATGCTCCACTGCGGAGACACTGGGCGTCCCTCTGTGTGTTATTTTTAAAAGCCAAGACAGTACTAACTCCAGAGTATGAGTTAGTTTATTAGCCAGCACCACGCTGATGATGGTGACAACATGAAGACTGTCCCTGGAGCAGTGGGAGCGACAGCGAGAGCTTGGAGAAAGGAGTGGAAGGGCGTTCGGGTCGCCGAGCACTGGCCTGGCTGAGTGGGGAAGTATCTCCCATCACAGATGCTGCCAGAGTAAGAGTGGTTCAGAGGTGGATATGGTGGGGGGTGGGGGGTCTACAAATCCCACACCCAACAGGACATCCAACAGGCAGAGGACACCGTTGCCACACCCTTGCACCCTGGCAGGGCTGCCACACAGAAAAGGGAGGTTCTGAAGGCAAAGGTAGAGGGGACGTTGAAAAATAACAGCTAATGGGGGCATCTGGGAGGCTCAGGTTTTAGCTCAGGTCATGATCTCAGGGTCATGAGATCAATCCCTGCATCAGGCTCTGCACTCAGCAGGAAGTCTGCTTGGGATTCTCTCCCTGCGTCCCCTCCCCTTACTCATGTGCTCTCTCTCTCTCTCTTTCTCTCATATAAATAAATAAATCTTCAAACAAAAAAGAAAAATAACAGCTAATTGATCACTAATCATGACAACAACAATGCTAATAAGAGCTAACATTTATTAATACTTTCCCCGGGCCCAGCACTGACTATAGAGAGCCCCATGGGTTGGGTATTATTATGATCATTATTTTCATTTTCTAATTACAGTAACTGAGACTCAGATTATGAGACCTGCCCGGGTCCCTTCACCAGAAACAGGCAGAGAAAGAATTTCTAAGCTTCAGATCTTTCCAAGTCCAAAGCCCGGGCTGGACCTTGCTCTGGCCCTGCTGTAGGATGGGTGTAGGGGGTTTGGAGGGTGGAGCCTCAGGCTGGAAGGGAGCCGTGGTGAGCTCCAGGCAAGCTCCCGGATCCAGCAGTTCTGAGGACGCCACTAGACTGGCCTGGGAGCCTCCGTCCACCCCCCAGTCTGACCTCTTTGTGCCCCAGACCGGTCTGTTCCTGAGCTGCCTAGCTGATTAGTGGTGGGTGTTGGGGCAACTTAGCAAACAAGGTACTTCCCTTTGATTCATTAAGCAGATATTCACCGAACACCTTTAGGTGCCGGGTACCAAGTGGTAAAGGTCGGGCTCAGAAATATGAAGAGGGCAGGCTCTCATGAAAGGAACTTTCTAGAGGCAGGGGAACAGGAAATAGATGTATGAACAAATAAACAGATCATTTCAGAGAGTGGGATCAATGGGACACCCCAAGAGAGTGAGTAGCTGGTGGGTGGGGGGCCTCCCCGGGGAGGACACGCTGAGCTGGGCCCTAAATGATCACCAAGAGCCACTCAGGCCAAGATGGGGCTGGCGGGTGTGGGGAGGGGGAGAGCCTTCCAGGCAGAGGGGACAGCCCATGAGGGAACTGTGGCCAGAGGGCAAGGACGGAGAAGCTGGTAAGGCC